CCTAATTAGTGATGAGCTTTCACTAATTCAGACAACTGTGCAAGTTCCCCTTAAATGATGTCCTAGGATGAGCATGGGGTTTGGGAGTCACAGCACGTGACCACAGCAAGGTTCTTGACTTCTCTGGAAAACAGGGACTGCACCAACTGCCTCTCAGAGGGGCCCTGAGGTTACAAAAGAACCCACGCACCCCGACAACCGGCAGGCAGCGAGCACCCCACAAAGGTTCCTATCCCTCCGTCACAAGAGCCATGTGTGAAGTGTGCCCTGATGCTTCCCTGATAGCTGAGTGGTTTCACACACCTGTCCTTTCAAAATCTCTTTTAAAGCACTGCCTTTAGGGGCGCCTGGGTGGCTCAGATGGTTGGGCGTCTGCCTTCGGCTCAGGTCATGATCCCGGGGTCCTGGGATCGAGTCCCACATCGGGCTCCCTGCTCCTTGGGAGCCTGCTTCTCTCTCTCTCTCTCCCTCTCTGTCTCTCATGAATAAATAAATAAAATCCTTAAAAAAAAATAAATAAAAATAAAGCACTGCCTTTAAAAGTACTCCTTTATCTCCCTCTCCCACTCCCCCGCTTGTGTTCCCTGTCTCGCTGTCTCTGCCAAAAAATTAAATTTTTAAATTCTTAAAAAAAAAAAAAAAAGGGAGGGGAGCACCTGGGTGGCTCAGTCGTCAAGCGTCTGCCTTCGGCTCAGGTCATGATCCCGGGGTCCTGGGATCGAGCCCCGCGTCTGGCTCCCCGCTCTGCAGGAAGCCTGCTTCTCCCTCTTCCACTCCCCCTGCTTGTGTTCCCTCTCTCGCTGTGTCTCTGCCAAAAAATTTTAAAAAATAAAATAAATCTTAAAAAAGTACTCCTTTAAAATCTCTCTTTCAGGGCAACCCTCTCGGGTCCCCCCTCCCTCTTCAGGAGCTTTGTACTATCACTTTGCTATCGCTTAATAAACTTTGCTTTTTGCTACCCCCCAAAAATAATAAAATCTCTTTTACAAGTAAAAACATTCCCATATAGAGCAGACTTAGCAGGTATTTATCTAGGTCCCTCAGACCGACACGAGAAGGTATGTTTGCCGCAAGTCCACACTGCAGGGCTGAGAACAGAGTGACACCTGCAGGGGGGAGGAGTGGCAAGCTTTACCATCACATGCCCCGTGCAGCTCAGAAACGGGCGGCAGGCAGACTCGCGATTTGCTGTCACCAGAACCGGGGTCTCAGTAACAGGATCTGCCACAGACCTGCGCCCCACCCCGAGAAGTGATTTGTACAGGCCGTGGGACCCATTCTTGGCGAAAGACAATAGTATTTAAAGCAAACTCCAAAGAGTAAATATTTTAATTTTCTTCAAACGTACTCTCCATTTCATAGTATTTTCCATAGTCACACGGACGAGTTACATTTCCACAAAAAGACTCATATAGCAGTAGTATTCTTAAAGTACTCACATCCAAAATTAAGTAGGGAAACTAGGGAACTCAGCAAGGAGCATACGACACTGTGGTGAGATTAAGTTCCATGTCCAAGGTTAAGTCGGGAGGGATTCGCAGGAGAGCCGAACTCGGCGCCCCCCCGCCCCCACCACACGGTCCACAGTGGAAAAGTGACCAGTGCGGCCTGCGCCCCCGGCTGCTTAGGAAACCCACCCCGAGGCTGGAAGCTGCCATTTCGTGCATGCAGAACGCGAGTCAAACAGCAAAGTGTACACACTTCTTAAAGGGGGGGCTGCTAACTCCACCGCCCATGGTGCTGGAGGGGTCACCGAGGCCACCGCCACCCCCTCGGCCATCCCGAGTCGCACAGCAGCCCGCACTCCGGCGCTTCCCACTGAGCCACACGCTCGAAACCACGGTGGCCATGGTTGGGACAGGAGGCAAAAATCCCGGACCCTGATGTTTTTGAAAACTGCTGACCTCTCAGTGTGAATTGTTGAAACTCAGATTTCTCATCCCCAACACAGCCCACGATGCTGGTGTGTTAGAAGAGCTTTTCTGTGTCTGATGTACAGTAACAGGATCGAGGAAAATACTCCCCATGTAAGCTTACAAGGTCTATTAAAGGGGGTGGTGCGCCTACATGGTCCCAAAATACGGGGATAAAAGGAAGTTGGCACTAAAGCACACAACTAGGCTTCTATGGAAAGACCGACCATACCTTCCTATAAACAGAAATAAGATTGTTTGATAGAAGATTTCCCCCCCTGTATTATACACTCTACAGGTAGCCTTCCTGGTTAAACCTAAGACTCAAATTTCTATCTGATTTATTCTATTTGATACCAACTGGTATGTCCAATGGATGGATGCGTCTGCAGATACAAAAGAATATCACTTTGCTTTTGACGGTCCCTTTCAAGCTCAAGGAACTTTACAGACATTGGCCCTCATGTCTTAAGTAGGTCAAGAGGATGTGAGGGGAAACGGAGTGACTGCTCACCACGAACACTAGCCCTGCCACACTCCTCCCTGTAATCCTGAGGAATTCTACCCGATGCAGGTGTAAGAAAATGGAAGCAAAGGCCAGTGATTAAAAGTCACGAAGCTTTTCACATCTACAGAATTTAAGTGAATGTCACGACAGTTGTTAACCCTGAAACCATGTAGTGAAGGGTTCTCATTTAACATGGCTGCAAGTCAACACGGCCTGCTGTCCACCCGCTCTGCGGAGAGTACACAGTGCCCAGAACCCGACCCGAACACACTGGAGGCAGGCCTGACGCCCCTGGGCCGGCGGCCCCTGCACAGAAGCAGACAGGGTTGCCCAGATGGTTTTGAAACTGAGCAAGGGCACCAAACCTACAGAACACGGTTTTTACAGGAGAGGATTAAAAACTAAACATTTTTCCTGGAAATATATATATATTTTTTAAAGATTTTATTTATTTGACAGAGACAGCGAGAGCAGGAACACAAGCAAGGAGAGTGGGAGAGGTGAGAAGCAGGCTTCCCGCTGAGCAGGGAGCCCAATGTGGGACTCGATCCCAGGACTCTGGGATCATGACCTGAGCCGAAGGCGGCCGCTTAACGACTGAGCCACCCAGGTGCCCCTTTCCTGGAAATATTTTAATACCATTTAAAAGTGACACAGCAGGAGGCAGGAAACAGCAGTTTTTGGTATTTTTGCTATTCTAGGCACACTGGGACTTGGAAAGATTCCCTAAAGTGAGTCTTGCATTATAAAAATATTGATGTGAAATACATGTGCTTAAAGTGGGAATCCAAACTGGACCCAAACTTCACTAAAATGAAAGTTTACTGCTGTGTCCAGAAGAAATGCTGTATTACGTCTGTCCTAAAAGGCAGATATTGAAAGGGAATGTTCTACTGGCAAATAACAGCAATCTGGGGACAGACAGGAAGGGAAACGGGGTGCACATCAGCTCCACTCAAGAGGAAGTATCGCTGCCTTTATGAAGTGGTCTTCACGCGCTTCTGTAACACTGTGGTCTTAAACTCGCTGACGGATCTTGGTCAGGCTTGCTCACCCGGACTCGCTGGGGTAACACCCATTCAGCCTCCATGCAGCCACATGTGGACACACGTCGTCTACTCCATGCAGAATAGTTCATCAAAGTCAACCACACAGGCCCAGTGGCCACTCAGAAATGCAGTACTCAGAGATCCAAGATCTGAGGGAGCCGTGGCTACCGTGTGTGGTGTGACCTCCATGCTCTCCAACACCCCCAGCCCGGGGTGTCACAGGTCTGGGGGTCTACCAAACCACACACACACACCACACACACACACACACACACACACACCACACACACACACCACACACACCCCCGATCATCCAAAAATCTCTGTTGGGCCCCTTAGTTTACAGACAGATGCTGAGACTTACAGAAATCTAATGCCTTGGCCAAGTCACCTGCCAAGTGAGGGCAGATCTGGCAGCCCAAGGGTCCTGCCCAACACTCTCCTTACTGTGTCACTGTGACATAAAGGTTGGAAAAGACATTTTTAAGAAAGAAAAAATTGAGGATACTTAATAATGCAGAAGTGTTCAAATACAGTCTACATAAACATCTCAAACAGCATCTTGGTTAAACTGGCAATGAACAGAGCCTTGATACTGGGCCTTTCTGAGGCAGGTTTCTGGTTCCTAAACCCAGATTCTGTGGCAGAGAACCATGGAAATGACATTATGAAGATCTATGTTATACTAGGATTTACAAACCAAATTTGTCAAAAGATGGGTCTATTTGCAACTCAAGAGTGCAAAGAAGAGGGTGATTATTTCTCCCTAGACTGTATCTAACTGAACTTAAATAGTGTAACTATGGAAAATGTATTTTAAAATTAGAGATTTTATATTTTTAAGTTGATCAAGGGCTTTGCAGTTTAATTAATCATCACAAATAAGAGACATGGTATGTTCTGTTTTAAGGATGCATGGGGTCAGTGAGCAGGGCGGTCAGAACGTGCCCCCAAGCCGGTTGAGCCTTCTCAATGATGCATGGGCGTGGCTACTGTTTACTCAGGATCACATTCTGCATGGACTCCATTTAATTGGGACAGAGTAACGGATGGTTCTGTGAGCAGTGCCTTTTTAAAGTTTTTTCAGCAATAGAAAGGAAACAAAAATTAAATGCTGTTTAACACAGTTTTCATAAATTTTAAATGTCCAGATGTTTGGCTTACATTGCTTTCTTGTTCAGAAAATCTAGAGAATGGAATCGATTCGACATCATTTTTCAAACCCCAACCTGAAATGTAGTTCTGAAATCTAAATTCATGTGAATGGCATTCTCCCCACTTCAGAAAATGAAAATTCACATCACATCAGTGGATGAACACAAAGTCCTGCATTTTTTCTACTAGATTCACCTAAAGTCAAAAAGTGAGTCCTTGTGAACAATTTTTCTCCTACTCCTAGGTAATGATTTACTTGATATTAACCAAAATCAGTTTCGAGAAAGTATTCCCAAGTATCTTGGGATGGATCCAAGTATTGCATCTATGAATATGCTCTAAGAAAAGCAAAATGTTCATGGAAGCATAGAACAATTTTACCTTTAAATAAAAATACTTTATTCATTCCTGACAGGTTATCAAAATGTACACTGTTAACCAAGTAAAAATGGTACTTCGAAATAGCTGACTAGGGCATATTTGGAGGATTTTTGGTTAATTTCAGAAAAGTAAAAATCATTTCCAATCTCCCTTTCCACACATTCCTAAAAGCTTGCACTGTATCTGCTGAAAAGTGAACATATAAACAATCATATGGGCCCCAGTTCATTATAGAATGCACATTTTCATTTACACTTAAAATAAATGGAAGTTACTACATCTGAGTTAGCTTCCTTTGCCAAAAACATTGTCTTACTCCTCTTTATATTTTGTGAAAATCTGTAAATTACATAACAAATAGATCACATGACTTGTATTAATCTACACACACACACACACACACGATAAAGTGCAACACAACAGAACATGTCTGCGACATTCACGTTCTCAACGCCCACAGATTTTCTGAGGGAATGGAAATAATGTTCTCAAGTGCACGGACACTAAATCCAACAGACTAGGTTATTTATTCCTCAGGGTTATTTATATTAAAATCCTATTTGCTTTGCTTTCCCTGTAGCTTCTGTCTCTCATTCTCAATGAAAGTTTCGAAGCTGTGATTCTTTTTAAACCTTGAGAAAAATCAACTCTCCTCAGGGCAACATAAATAGTGCTTTCAAAGTGCACTTTCAAAGTTTCTGAGCACTCTGTACTGTAACGGGAGGCTTCCAATGATCTCTCATCCATAGCAAGGAGAATCACAGCCATTTTAATAATAGCAAGCATTCCACTCACTTGGCAGCAAACGCTTAAGAACTTTTGACACTAACCACCAAACATTTCTCTACGCAAGTACTAAACTAGCCCTACAATGTCACAAGTTTTTGGTTGCATGTTGCTTTGATATTAAATTATTTAACTAAGAAATGCTTTTGTTCCTGAGATGAGCACAATAAAATTAAATGAGTACCCTCTAAAGCTGCCAATGGGACGCTATGCTCCTTACTTCTACCCTCACTATCTCCATGAAGAATCGCGTCTGAAATATCAGTCTTCCCCATGGCGCCATTTCTGTGACTCGTCTTGCCGAACATCTGGTCTAATTTGGTTTCTCATGCCACCTAATACATTTGATGTCGCTTCCGTGGCCACAATCAGAGGTTTCACCACCGCAGGAGGAATCTGGCGCAGGACCTCGCCCACGGCACCAGTGACCCCTCTGCTCTCGTGTTCTCGAGCTGCGGTTTCGTAAATTGTCTGAGCCGTGTCTGTAAGTCCCTGAAAGGGGGAGAGGAGAGAAGATCAGAAAAATCTCTAAATTATCCTATTGTATACAACTTTAGCAGAGTTCATCAACATTATGCTTGTAACTAAACCAAAAAACCCACTGTGCTTTTGAGATAACCCAGGATAATTATATTTATGACAGAATTGTAACTATAGGGAAAATAAGAGGCAATTATTATAATCTAGCATTTTGTTGTGACACGTGTATGTAGAAAATATAGCTAAGCTACCATTTCACGTAGGGAAGCTTAAAGAAATATTTAGGGGTGCCTGGGTGGCTCAGATGGTTAAGCATCTGCCTTCGGTTCAGGTCATGATCCCAGAGTCCTGCGATCGAGCCCCGCATCGGGCTCCCTGCTCAGCGGGGAGTCTGCTTCTCCCCCTCCCTCTGCTTCTCCTCCTGCTCATGCTCTCTCGCTCTCTGTATCTCTGTGTCTTGAATGAATAAAAAAAAAAAAAATCTTTTAAAAAAGAAATATTTAATGATCTAAGAGTAGCTTTCCTGGCACTATTAATCACTCTAGTTAAATCAAACTTAGCAAATAAAGCTTCTGGAATAAATATAATCACAAAAGGAATACGGTGATAGCTCCTTTGAGTCAACTGTAACAAGAAAACCTAATTCTACAAAGCTCCAGAAAATTATTTGTTTTAAATTACTAGCTATGTACTAGAAAAGATAATTGTGGAACATTCAATTAAGATAAAAGGATTGGCTTAAATAGAAAAAATTCTGAAAACATAAAGCAGGAACATGTTTAAAAATTTAAAAGTTTCGGGGCACCTGGGTGGCTCAGTCGTTAAGCGGCTGCCTTCGGCTCAGGTCATGATCCCAGGGTCCTGGGATCGAGCCCTGCATCAGGCTCTCTGCTCAGCAGGGAGCCTGCTTCTCCCTCTCCCACTCCCCCTGCTTGTGTTCCCTCTCTCACTGTGTCTCTGTCAAATAAATAAATAAAATCTTTAAAAAGTATCATTTCTACCTGGCACGGTAGGGTAAACATGTAATACTGTAGGGGGAGGACACGTACAGAAGAACTAAAAACAAATACAAGTGCAGTTTTTAAAACTACTGTCAGTAAGTGAAACCGTGACAATAAAGAAAACGCTCACGGTTGGTCCACCTGTGCCCGCATCCCTCTGTCTCCTCTCTCAGCCACCCTCCCTAGCCCGAAGACAATAAGCAGGTTCAAGCGGATTACAACCCAGTGAGCGTGGCCACCACCGCGTCACAGAAGTGAATTCGTATCTCGGCTCTATCACTTCAGTGTGTTACCTCAGCCAATATATTTCATTTGTTCTTTGTTTTGTTTTGTTGCTAGTCAAGTCCTGTCAATGGGGGATGAAGTCTGTGGTGACTGTCAGACTTCACTGGCTCAAGACACCCGCAGAGACTGGCGCTCCGTGCTCACAAAGCAGGCCCTGGCCCCCGGCCGCTGCCCCCACCACAGCGCCCGGCCTCCCACCCAGGGGAACGACGGAAGCAGGGGTCAGCCAGCACATGGCAAATATTTGTGGGCCACACAGGTTCTATTGTATATGCTTTTTCTTTTTTTTTTTTTCCTTTTTACAATCCTTTCAAGTTGTTAAAATAATTCTGAGCTGGTAGGTCCACACAAAAACAGGCCTGGGCCAGAGGTGACCTAGAAGTCACAGTGTGCCGAGCCCGGATCTAGAGGAGGAGCCAATCTGTGAACCAGCTGGAATGTTTTCTCTCCATCTTTGATTCACTAACATCAAAAAGGGAAAAGACACATTTATCACCATGTAAGGAGCCTCTATTTAAAAAGTTCTGAGGGGCGCCTGGGTGGCTCAGTCGGTTAAGCGGCTGCCTTCGGCCCAGGTCATGATCCTGGCCAGGGTCCTGGGATCAGCCCCACATCAGGCTCCCTGCTGAGCGGGAGCCTGCTTCTCCCTCTCCCTCTATCTGCCGCTCTCCCTGCTTGTGCTAATAAAATAAATAAATAAAAAATAAAAAACTTTAAAAGTTTTGAACGCGGAAGTCAGATTCCTTGCTAATCAAGCGCACCTGCCATCTCAATCCGTGCTCACACTGTCAAGTCTTAGAGAGAGACCCGCACAGCAGACCCGAATACCCAGGGTCCAACAGAGGCCCCACTACTGACTCGCCCAGCTACACTGGGGAGCCATTCCTGCTGAGCCAGTGTCCTCATGGGCAAGCGAGGACCACCGCCTCCCTTTAATGGTTGCTACACACCTGGCACAAAGGAAGCACACAAATATTTTTTCAAATGAATTCAGATTAAATCAGGCAAGGTTATGCAAACTGCAAAGTGCTCCATTCCCAAGCGCTATTATATCCTGTGGCCCACGGCCCCTGCCATGCCCTGAACCCCAGGATCATTTTTATAAACCTGATTTCTAACACGTCTACCGATAACTGGCCCAATCCTGACATCTATAGGAACAGATCTGACCAGTAATTATTCTCCCAACTAAGTCTCCTTTTAAGAAAAGCAGGTGGTCTTGCCTTTATTCCACTAATACATTTCCTCGGGGCCCTACCTCAGTGGTCTCCCGACCATTTGGGACCACAGAGGCCACTCTGTCAGGGAAAAGACTTGTCTTTTCCTAGGCACTTGTGCCTGTCAGAATAAAGACGGGGAAAAAGATCTTTAATGAAATCCTAATACATGCATCAAGAGTAAAACCATCTCAAACTTCACGTCACATTAAAAAGAATGTCAAGGGCGCCTGGGTGGCTCAGTTGGTTAAGCGACTGCCTTCGGCTCAGGTCACGATCTCGGGGTCTTGGGATCGAG